TATAACTACAAAAAATTTACTTGAAATAAAAATTTGTAGAAAAAAGAAAACATTTTTTTGTAAAAATATCTACGACATAGTATCATAAATTATAATGTTCTCAAATCAAGAAATTATTGCAAGAAGTATTTCATAAAAATGTACAATTTTGTAAAAATTAGTACAAAACTTTACTAGTTTAAAAAATTTTAGAAACAAGAAAATCTTAAAAAATTAAAACATCTGCTATTAACAAAAGTGTTCCAATTCTAGCATTTTCATGTTGATTTTTATAACACTTTAAATTTACGTAGAATTTCTTAGATCCTGGCAGTTAAATTTTATAGTTTTGTAGAATTATTTCCAGCAGGGATGAAAGAGGAAACATTCGTGTTTCATGTACAATAAGTTAGAATCGTTAAAATCTAAAAACTTTAATATCGCCTACTTTATAAATTTTTATAAAATCATTGTTTATCAATTTGTATGAGTTCGTGAAGCTATAGATATTTAATTGTTTACTTCATATAAACGTTTGTAGATGTCCCAAAATTTTTTAAATTTGTACTATAGTTCCCAAAATTATGCTGAACCTTTACCCTAAACTATACATACGTGCACTACCCTCCATAAGTTTGGGCACATTTTATAAAAGTGTGCAATATGAAAGAAATACATAATAAAATCGATGTATTTTGCGTCTTAACGAAGATACATATGTGCATACGACAAACTTTTAATGAAGATTTCAATTAAATTTTAGATTCCTCAAAGTAACCACCTTTTGCTTTAATGACTGCCTTGCTTACTCGTGGCATACGATGGATTAACTTTTGCAGAGATTCAGTCGGGATACGTTTCCATTCTTGCTGGAGCATCTCCCAGAGATGGCACTTCACTCGTAATTCGCTCTTTGCGAATCCTCTTGTCTAACTCGTTATTTAAACGTATCGTAATTTTATCGTTTTTTTATCGTTATATTGTTATACAGGGTGTCCTGAAATTCGCGAATCAAAATACCATAGCAAGAAAGTCGCCGAAAAATAAATTAAAAAGTTATGTACCATTTTTCGTTCCGAGCAGTAGTTTTTTTTAGATAAAAAGGTACAAAACAGGCCAATCATACATTACGGTTGAACGGAAACCTGCACCGAGAAAAATACTTTAATAATTATTAATATACCCTAAGTTTGAACTCGATTACTTTGTCAGAAATATATAAATGTTAATATAAATTCGTGATATTAAATAGTAATGTACGTGACCGTACAGTAAAAATATCATCAATTAATATATAATATTTGGTAATTCTTAATATACCATGTATTAACTATAAAGAAATATGTATTAACTATAAAGAAATATGTATTAACTATAAAGAAATATTTATTAAGACCGGACACAAAAAATTCTTACATTTATTATTAATATACGGTTCTTTCAGTGTGTCCGCGAGTCGCGCGTCGATAGTGTTAATGCACTAACACTATGATAATGTATGATTGGCCCGTTTTGTACCTTTTTATCTAAAAAAAACTACTGCTCGGAACGAAAAATGGTACATAACTTTTTAATTTATTTTTTCGACGACTTTCTTGCTATGGTATTTTGATTCGCGAATTTCAGGATACCCTGTATAATCATCGTTATTTATCGTAAATATATCGTTATTTAAACAATTAACTTATGATATATTTGTACCAAACATATACATACACAGATCGCTGCTGTGCCATTATTTATCTGTAAAATATAGGGTTTTTCAAAACTTACGGTGGGTACTGTACATGTATAGTGTTTATTACAAAAATTAAATTACACGTAAATTAGAGTATTGATATTGTATAATGACCTACATGTAGACGCGAGGGGAACATTACGTTCTTTCATGGTAACGTGGCCGAGTGGTCTAAGGCGCTGGTTTAAGACACCAGTCTCTCCGGAGGCGTGGGTTCGAATCCCATCGTTGCCAGATATTTTGGCCTCGCGGCTAGAAATGGCTTTTGTAATTATATCGCGTGCTGCGTAAATAATCCGCGAAAAAGGCATTTCCCTCCCTTTTCTTCACATCCTTCCGCATCGGACATTTGATAACGCGAACCGACGGATTCGAATCCGACGGCGCTCGTTTCGGCGCCGTTTTGCTCGACGAATTGTATCGCGCGTTTCTGGGGTTTTCTTTTGTGTTTTTGTTTTCTTTCTCTCCCTCACAGCTCGGTCGCTCGCGTTGCTCCCTGGTCGATTCGTAATGCCGAGGTTTCGTTTTGTTCGACCCAATGGCCCCGATTTTAACGGACCCTACCCCACACCGACTTTCTCCGCACGACAAATCTGTATGCGCGGCTAAATTAATGTCCGTGCCACGTGGTCGCACGCACTGGCCGACATGCGACTGGACGTGCCCGTCCGGGTCCGCCGGCCGGTCAGTTGTTCTGCGGTCTTCGTGCGTGATTCAATCTGAACGCATTTTACAGAGCCACCAGCGGTGGCCTGCACGCGAGCTTTCTTCGTGGGAGGAATCCAGGCCGTGGCCATCAAAAGTCTCGCCTATCTCGTCTCTTATCGCCACGCTTTACAGATCAGTAGGTTGTAATTAGATGCGCGAGCGATCGAATAAATAATTTACTTGGCGACATTTTAATCCTTCTGTCCGTGCGCCTCAATCGTCCCTTAGTCCCTAAAATGCTGCACCGCCACGTACACCTGTGACGAAACGCCCTTTTACCGCATTACTTTGTAAAATTAATGCAGTAAGCGACACCCATCCCGTTTAAGCTGTTAAATTGTCTAGGCGTGATCTAACGATCGGGGTAAATGGGATTAAACGGCGATGATCATTTAGTTGAAAGCACCCCTGCGAAGTGCTTGCCACTTATCGAATTGAAAAAGATTCTCGAAAGTATCGCGCGAAAACGGATAAATTAAGTTAATGATATCGATGACTATAAATAAACTTCAATACCGATCGATAGATTGTTAACAGCGACCGTCTAAACGTGGATATTTCATGTGTACATATAGTGCACGTACAATGCCTTAAATATTTACTACATATTGTGAAACACTCTATATTAACGCGTCTACTATTGATAAATCGAATCATAAATCTTGCCATAAATCATGTCTTGCAGTATCTGCAGTAGCAGTGTGCTTAATTCATATTTGTAAAAGAAAATGTTTCAAGAACGAGAGGAAACATAACAAGCTAATGAAAATAATAATAAGTGACGGTTTTAACATTTAGTAAAGGATTTAAGTGTATACAGAGAATATTAGAAGTAAGCCCCGTAGTCATTTTCATCAAGATCTTAACGTACAGTACGTCAACACAGAAAAATGCGGAGAGAGAAAATCGTGGAAATATTATTTTTACGGAGAGTTGATTTTCGCAGATCGTCTCTTATATAATTAAACCGTCTCATTGAATAAGAAAAAAATAAATAAATTGGGCATGGCTGCATACGATATTATTACTGTCGACATAATATTGACGTCCTGATTGGACTTACGTCTTTATTGCGCGAATTCGAAGGTTTGATTCTTCACGAGAAAAAGCACAACAATGCGAGCGAGCAAATGATTGTTCCACGTATTCGAGGAATTAATTAAACGGTGTGTTCGATCGTGTGGCAAGAAGCAGCGCGAAACGTTACCTTTTGCCGGGACGGTCGCTTTTGCCCTCGCCCATCGCATCGTCCTACCCAACAATTGACCCTTCGAAGGATGCGAGGTGGTGATGATCGAAAAGAGCGGGGGATGTATCGCCTTCGAACCGGTATTCGCGGTAAATGAAGAAAAGGGAAAGGTGCGAAGGAAGATGTTAGCCGAGCCAAGCCTTCCTTCTGGCGTGACTGGCTTTTCAGAGATGTTGATAAGAAGGTGAGCCGGTGCGATACACCTGCGCAGTTGCGAGGGTTGAACCGCCCCGCGGTAGGGTGGTGAATAGGCTTTGAGACGCCACGTTAGGCGAATTTGTAGAATATAGCACAGTGTTTGTAAAGATAACAATAAATTGTCATCTTGGAAATATCCTATGTAGTTAGAGTCTGAGATTAAAGTGATAAGAAAGAGCTGTTCAACACAATTCACCGTGTCGCAGCATGTAATGTATTAAAAAGACTTAAAATTTAATATTTCATTGAAACTTTTAACATCAAGGAAATTTATTGTAAATAATTAAAATTAATACAGTATTTGAAATTAAATACTAAGCTTATTATGCGTAGCAAGAAAATAAAGGACCACAAATAACTCATTATTCAATATCACTTTAGACTTACCAATCGAAACGGATCCGTGTTCGATTATTCAATAAATTCTCACAATAAATTTTTATTAAGATGCGACGCATACACATACACTTTTTAACTTCTACCAAACAATTTCCACATACATCTTATAGGTAATAAAAGTTAATGATGGCACTGTGATGGTACCATTATTTCAACAATGGCTCATAATTCAGAAAGTTTTTAACAAAGAGTTCAATCATCTTGAAAACATCTCAACAATACTATTGGACCATAATGACTCAGCGTTCACCAGAGATATGAGCTTTAAAATGCACTAGATTATTGCGTGGAAGTCTTATTTTCATTATCCGGTGTCGATAACTGCAGGTTGATAACATCTTTGACTGATCAAACTTCATGCCAAGACGTCTTTAAGACTTTAACTATAAAAAGATGTCTGAAAGTAATTTTTCATAAATTGTTGAAGCTTGTATAGTCGTTTACATTATCGACTGTAACATTTATTGATTTAAATTTGTTAGTACGCACAGTAAGACCTTCGCCAGACGCCCATAAGCGCTGTTAGCAGCCTAACCTCGGTTTTCACCAAATTTAAATTACATATAAATTGTACAAATAACCTTTATGCGAATAATAATGCAATGAATTGAGATATTACATACATATATGTATATGTTTTATCATTTACAATGTTCAAAGTTATTTAAATAAAATTATTTACATATTTCTAAAACTTTTAATCGAATTGTATAGATTTCATAATCAATTCTCGTGAATCATACATTTCATAACAAGAGTAAGAAGAAGAGGAAGACAGAAAGACAGAGAGATGGAGGGGGGCAGAATAAAGGATGGGAAAGAAAAAAGAGATATTATTATGAAACATAGCTAATGTACTTTTAATTAGAACATAAGTCAGTCGGATCAGTTATTATCACTCAAAGACTGGATCCCTCTTAGCAGATTAACGTATACTGCACTTACTTGTTAAATCCAGTCATAATACGATTGATTTATACAGTGACACTTCAGCACAATTTGAATTTTTGTAATTCGCTGTAAGTGTACGAATATAAAAACTTACAAAATTAATAGAAAAGTTATCAATCTTTTTTAACTTATTTGTTCCGAGGTTATGAGTGCGGGGTAACGCTGCGATCAGTTTCTCTTGCTTCTACGTATTCTTTTTGATGGTGGAGATACCTGTATCTCGTTGTTGCAAATGTTTACATCCCACCGTAATAGAATTTATCATGAAAAAGTATTGTAATATTATTATACATACACGAACATATAATATTGTAACATTTGAATGGCAGTATATTATGTCGACTAATCTCTTTCGCAAAGTCATGTATATTTTGATTTTACGCAATTTCTGGTTTTTGCGTTTCAACTGGACCGGAGTAAGCGTTTATAAAAAAAGGAAAAACAAACAGGAATTGCCTGAAATCAAAATACGACCTTGCGAAAGAGATCCATCGATATATCGATATATGTATGCTGCTATTATACATATGCCTATGCATGTAGTAAATGTTTACATTATATAAGTTCAGGAAATATGAAATATCTCAAAACATACGCAATAATATTTACATGTGTCAATTTGGTGACATATATGATAAAATAAATATGTATGTACACATATGAACTTCTTTACACAGTAAATAACTATTAGTGTATTTTTATTTATAAAACCTAAAATGCTATCTATGTAATCTTATATTTTTAAAAAGGTACAAAAAAGCGCCAAGTACGCACTAGCGGAACATTGTTGTAAATATTTAAATTATTATTATACATAAGAATATTTGTTAAAAAACTATTGTCTATTCTATCTGCAAAAGTAAAGCCCACTTTACACGATCTATAATTCGCGACAGGATTCAAGATAGAATTCTATTTTATAATTTCATATATTAAATTGACATATGTTTGTAGATTAGGTTAGTGTGTAGGTTATAACATTTACATATGGATGAGGTCCGTTTTCCCTGCCGAATGGACACAAATACTCACAGCAATCAATGCTTAAGGTTTTTCATTAGACCAAATACAATTAAATACAATCACGCATTTTCATGCACTACACATATTTGATGCATCTTTTCTATAATATTTACAAAATTGGAGCATTATAATTATAATTCTGATTGTTCAAATGTTTTCTGTATTACACGATACATAAGAATTAAAAGATGGAATTCTGTCTCGAATTCTGTTGCGAATTATAAATCGTGTAAAGTGGGTTTAAGAAAGCGAAACCAGGTAAAAATAAATTAGAGGAAAGAAACTGTTGTATAAGTTAACCTTTCAAGATTTAATAAAAAAACGAACGCTACTTTTTTAGTTGTCAATAGAAGCAAATGTATTATGTTATTATACTGTCTGTATATTATAAAAACATGATATTTAAATTTATACTGATAAACACATAACTTCAAAAGTCAGTACACTATACATACAAATTGTTACTAAATTGGTTATAATTCTTTTAACGCACATAGTAACAATTGTAACACATCATTATAGGATACTTACACGCTGAAGAAGACTTAGTATAGTCGAAACGTCGTCCGTTATTAATCGTCAACATTTTACATTTATTCTTAACAAATATTTATTTATATCAAACCTAGGATTAAGGAAAAAAAGCGTTACCTTGTACTTTATACTTTTTGTTATAGTTTTTGTCATATAACGCATTCCACGGACTTTTGTTCACCGATTGGTATTAATAAAACATCTATTTGTTAATTAAGTCAATGCTCGTAAATACATTGGCCTTAATCTCACTTTACTATTTTATAAATAGATTGACCAAAATCCAAAGGCCAAACGATGAGACAATTGAGGGACCAGACTAAAAGAACACAGCAATAACATTAAGAGTGAGCCGTCGAAACTCTCAGTGGTCTCAAACCACATGATTGACTATACACCGAAAAAATTGTATTCTTAAAATTATACTTTACAAGTCCTCTTAATATTCTTAATGAATAAGAATATTTCCTTTTTAACATCACGGTTTATGGAATATTTTCTTAAATTAAGAATATATTCTTAAGAATGTATTATTTGTGAGACAATTTTAGCGATGGCATTTGTTTTTCGTATGCACGATATCCACCGTGCAGTGCGTGCCGGTACGTGTAACTACGAGTGCCTCTTTCGGGTATTCTTTGTGTGTCCTGGCTCGAATAATGGATGAGAAAGTAGCTGAGTGGTTAAAAGAGGAAGATTTAAGCGATTTGAATAAGATATTTATTGAGTAAGTATTTGAAATATAAAATAAAAATGCTCATGGATCCTGTTAATCTTCCTACCAGAATCAACAGTTTTTACATATCTTTCGGGCACACTCTGTAATATATGTAAAATGTAATACACATATATGTGTTACATTTTAATAAATTTAATACATATATGTTAAGCGATAAGCTAAAATAAAATTGATAAAAATTTATAAACTTTAATATATAAATTACAAACAATAATATTCAGCTATGTATGTGCAATTATAATAAATAGTAAATGTTTATTTTGCAGAACTGTTTTTAATTATTTATAATCCCAGATATTAATTAACATATTTCGTAAGAAAACATATCATCTTACATGTTAAGAATATCCTGTTTAGAGGATTCCCCTCTTAAACAAAGAGGATCCTCTTGGTGCTTATTTTAGAGGAAAATATTCTAAAAATAAGTGAAATATACTTGAAATAAGAATACAGATTTTTCGTATCGATGTAATCATGAAATGGACTGGGATAATGTCATAATTCTTGACACTGAATGACGTAAAGTCGAAACGTTCACCTATGTAATTTATAGAGAATATCATCTTTGTGATATATTGAGGATGTAATTTTGACAAAAGGCTAATTGCCGAAATGATTCATATTAGAGAACAAAAAACGGAATAAATTTCCAATGAGTTGCCCGACGGATCATGTTTTGATTTATTGGAAACATTGTAGGAACGTCCCCACCTAGCGACGACATGAACATTTCCTAGTCATCACGAGACACGGTGGTGTCTCGCGCAAAGTATAAGTGTAGCTAGAACCGCGCGCCCGAGACCGACCGTGTAGTTTACGCGGGTACGCGAGTTGACAGGCCCTCATATTTTGTGTTTACCGAATCTTCGTATTTTCAGTCAGTCACAATTTACTTGTCATTATGAAAAGAGACTTATTTGACAATTAGTTGGATGATCTTACCCGATGTTAATCTCAGTAAGTTTTTCTATTAAATGTAACAATAATAATTAAACTCTAATTATTCAATGTCAAATCTAGATCATGAATCAAACCTATCACTGAAAATTGACTACATTTTGTAATTTTATTTTTCTAACATCCTTACATACTAGCTCGTTATTTTTGGCCTAAAAAATTTCGATTATTTGTGGACACGTACAACGGGCGTCACCTTTATATTATTTGGACTTACAAAAACCTTAGCTTGGATTGCAGTAAAACTACTTTTATCAACTATTGAAAAACATTACACACATGTGTAAAAACGAAGCTTATTAAATTGAAGTGTTAAATAATACACTATTTTTATTATTTATGCTTG